CTGAGGATCCCCTACAATGGGCGCTTTGACATTTTCCAACCAAGTTTTCATCTCACCATCCAGGGCGGGGGGCGATTCAAACAGGGGTCCAATGTACTGTGCATCGCGTGTTGGGCAAGTCAGCGAACCATTTCCGAGAACGAATTGAGGTCTTGTGCAGTAAACAACAGTTTCCGTAAGGAAATGACTGGGAACTCCAAACATACTGTCCAATGTTTTCCTTGGTGTGAAGAAAAGCATAACACGCAATGCAAATAGTGCCAAAAGTAAGTATATTTTTACAGCAAAGAAATCTACCGTACATAGGGAACCAAGTCTAAATAGTTGGCAAGAGCTTTGGCATGCATCGATGATGAATTGTGGTCGGAATTTGACCCCTTCGTGGAAGAGAACAATACGTGGTATGGTTTTACATTTTGCAGCAAGCGCCTCGCCCTTGAATATTGAGTCAAACACGCTCGCTGATATTTTGTCCATGATAACTAGCGTTGGCCGCGATTCTTTGAACTCTTGCGTCAGTGCATGTCTTGTCAGCGAGACGGATCGGAAGATACGCGAAGGGAAGTATGATGCGATGGTCATGAGGAAGATATACAACCAACTGACACCAGCCGCCTGGTAGCTCACTTTGGACTGAGAAAAAATATGTGTATAAGCCTTGATAAAGAACGCATCATTTATTTCACGCCTGGGCATCGGTGGGTATGGTATGCAGGCAAGTTTAACATCGTCAGGCAACATTTGCGCAACCTTCGAAGACTGAGTGCATACCCAAGTACAGTTCCATCCATCTTTTTGTAAAGCTTTGCAAAGTTCCGCGCCGGTACCCTCTGCGGGGGTGGAGAAAAGAAACAGTGCGTGCATAGCTCGACAAAGGCTCGTACCGAGGGATCAGATCGCTACGGTCCAGCCATGTTGGGAGGGCCCTGGTATACGAGAGCAAGACACTTTTGTTCAACACGCGTGGATATTTTTCAATGTCCTTGCCTTGCGTAGGCCAACATGCTAAGGTAAATCCCCTTAATAAAAGAAGCCGAATACGCTGCGCGTAAAATTCCCCTTGTCGGGGAATATAATTCGGCTCCTTATATTAAGGGGATTTACCTTAGTTCAATATAGCTTCAACTTGAAGTGAATACCAACAAACGCCCAAAACCTTTACAATTTCACATAAATTAATTTTTTTATCCCATTAGATATAAATCTTTTAGTACCGCTTTCAGTACCGCGTAATTTTTACTGGCAATTAAGCAAACGCTAAACAGACGATGTCGCCGGCTCTATGGAAGACTTATAAAAGTCTCAGGCTCGGTGAGCGCGAATCTCCTGAGCCTGAGGCACTCCATTAATAGAGTAGGGTTAGACAAGGGGGGAAGAACGAGGGGGCGATATTCTCGGGATACCCCCATTAGGCTGCTTCCCCGTCCCGGATCTTACTATCTCGCTAATTAGTCAAGCCCGAGTATTCACGTTGACGTTCGAACGTGCTGGTCCTGTCACATGCGCTGACCGTCGATCTTTATTCGCTAAGGACGCGTTAGTCTATCGTCTAGGGCGGCTTAGACGATGGTGGGCGTTTAGCGTGGAATCGCTGCCCGAGGACCTCCGGTGGGCTTCGTGACCCACCCGCTGTGCTAGCTCGGCCCGCCCGGGGCGTTCGGGGCCCCGCGGGCTGCGGAAGGGCGCCCCGTGCCGGGGCATTCAGCGCTGCTCGCAGCGCCCCGCGCGCGGCGTCTTCGTGTCGCTGCAAACGTGCGATTTCGCTGCCTCTGGCGTGCTCGTTTGTGTTTTCCGAGAGTGTGGAGGTAGGGTTGGGGCGCGGGTTGCCGTTTTTTTTTTTCGTGCGTCATGTCTTCGCCCGCAAAGAAGTCGAAGGTCGTTTGGATCGGAGAAAGCTACCATCGAGACATGGCCGAAGCTACGGAACGTCTTGTGCGTATAATGAAGCAGCTGCG